CACACACACACACACACACACACACACACACACACACACACACACACACACACACACACACACACACACACACACACACACACACCCACACCACACCACAGATCACACCCCGTGGTGACCCCGCCTCTGAGTCACTGCCACCTGAGAGTTGTGTGAAGCAGAGACAGAAGGACAGACAACATCCACATGATGTTACCCCTCCCCTTTGTTGCTCTGGGAGCTCAAGAATTTGAGTTAAAAGAGAAGCATACCAACTGACACTATGATATTCAGTTGATGCTGAAAGAGAGGGGGAAAAACCCCACAAACACAGCTGTTTGTAGCAGAATATTAGAAAAGGTGGGCGAAAAGACCCCTGTTGTGAACTTAAGTGCTCTTTTCAGAACTTACTCGACCCATTATGCACATTTGGATTTTCTACTCTCAGTGGGCCACATTTGGGTCGCCGTGACGTCATGCGCGAAAGACACTTTTACGGGTCGAAATTTTACTTTTATCTTCTCGCGAAACATCCTAAATGCCCACTTGACGAAAGAAAGAGAATAAGAGATACGTTTTTTATTACAAGGACGGAATGAAAAGCGCGAATTTCATAGATTACAAGTGCGAAAAGACGAGCTCTGAAAGGAATGCAAATTAAGTCTTCATAAACGACAAATTGGTGAGAGGATGGAAGAGAGATGTACAAAGTCCTTTAGAAATACAAAAGTTTAAGGCGTGCATTTACGCCACAATCCACCCCAAAAAAGTGTGACACTACGCGCAAAGCTCAAAGCAACATTATGTTGGCTCGTGTGATTTATGTTTACGCGCTGGTAGAGGCAGAAAAGCTAACAAAAATTGCTTTCCACCACAGAAGAATGGAGAACACGACTCCATTCATCCCCATGGAGAGATTACTCTTACGGTGGTTTGCTCTTTATTTATATCGCTCAGATTGGCGTATTATTCACCGACTGCGAGCACAAAAATGGATTGAATGAAAGTGAGAAGGGCAGAGAGGGAAAAAGCTATGAGTGGAACAGAAATGCGGGTGTGCAGAACGAATGTAAAGAATGAATGTAAAGGAAGAAAAACAACACGAACGAGAAGGGGAGGAGAAAGAGGAGGAGGAGAAGGCGGAGGAAGAAAAAAAGAAGAACAAGAACAAGAAGAAGAACAACAACAAGAACAAGAAGAAGAACAAGAAGAAGAACTTGAAGAAGAAAGAGAACAAGAACAAGAAGAAGAACTTGAAGAAGAAAGAGAACAAGAACAAGAAGAAGAAGAACAACAACAAGAAGAAGAAGAACTTGAAGAAGAACAAGAAGAAGAAAGAGAACAAGAACAAGAAGGAGAACAAGAAGAACAAGTCGAATCCTGCAAGCAACCTTCAACCTTTCCTTCCCATCTACGAAAACAAAATGGCTGCGTGCGCTCACATCTGCAGGGCTGCTCATTCCCCTCGCTGTCGTCTGTAGGTCAAAGGCGGGCCAGGTCTGCTATATGTCACATAATCTCCACGCCAAAATTGTTTACGTTTCTCCCCCGTCTTATCTTCTCCTGCCGGGCTGCGTATGAAAGGGCGCTATCTGCAGCCCACGGAACCCTGCGACGTAAAATAATATCCCATCCCAAAAGCACGGCGAATGTTGTTGATATTTTGCAGATGGGTGTGATGTTTGGGTATATGTCAGATGGACGTGGGGTGCTTAGTGGAACCCCGCTGCTATAAATTTCACTCACTTACTGGAAGAGGCCGGGGT